GTTCAACAGGTCAATTTATTACTTTATTTTATGTGTACTTCTGTTTAAAGATGCTTTATTTAATTAATACAGACTTAATTCATTTACAGAGCCTATCTGAAAGAACTTCTTTTCCCTATAAGGTACATCACAGCCTTCCTGCATCTAGCAATGCTAAACAACACTTCAGCTCCATGCCTGGAAACCATTTTCAAGAACAAAACCAATAAAAAGCATAAAAATGTGATGTACATAAAACTAAGTATACTGTCAAAGGGACACAGGACCTAGGAATGGTGACACATACCTGTAATCCCAGTAATTGAGAGGCAGTGGGAGATCAAGACCAAAGGCCAGCCTGGTCTACATAGCTAAGTTCCAGGCCAGCAAGAGCTACACAGTGAGACCCTGTTTCAAAAAAAAAAAAAAAAAAAAAAATAGAAAAGAAAAAAAAAAAAAACCTAGGCATAGATCTTCCAGTTGAATCGTCCAATCATCCATTACAGTTGAACATGACTGTGGACAAGCTGGCTGTGGTTGACTCCACTGGGCAATAAATTATCTTTCATCTGCTTACTCAAAAATAACTTTAAAAAGCTCCCACGAAGTTTAGACTCTGTGAGCTTTAGTGCTTTGAAGGTTTCTGGAACTACAGTCATCCAGTAAACTCTACATGCCTAATCATCCCAGATGTGACTGATCAGGAGCTGGTCTACATGGTAAATTTCAATAACTCTTATTTTCCACTGTCATTCCTGAGGGGTGTCCTGTGAGAGAAAAAGAAGGTACCAGCTGGCAGAACTGTGGTCTGAGTTTGGCCCCTCTGGCCAAAGGGAAGGTCTCTCCCTGGAAAGAGGTTCAGCAGTTTTGCATTTGTTATTTTGTAGCTTTAATGTCTTGTTTTCAACTACAGTTCATATATCTTAAATTGAGTCTCTAGAACTGTTTCATTTTTCAAATTTTTTAAATTCTTTATGTGTATGTGCACCAGGTGCACAAAGAGGCTAAAGAGGGTGTTGGAACCCTTGGAACTGGAGTTAACCGGCAGATGCAGGCTACCCGATGTGCATGCTGGGAACTGACCTCCTCTGCAAAAGCAGCAAATGCTCTTAACCACTGAGCCATCTCTCCAGCCCGTTTCCTATTTTGAACTAGTCTAGTGCTACAGTTCTAATTCAAAACAATTACAGCTTCCCCATGGGTCTTCTTGGCCTAAACTCTTCAGTTGTCATATTTCAAAATATTTTACTATCAGAATATACCAAAAAGTGCACAAAATGAAGGTAATTTCCAAGAAGCAAATGCAGACTATTTAGGTTTTGGACTTTGTGTAAGTAGGTAAACAGAAATTTTTGACTTTACTAATTACTTTGGTTATGTGTCTTACATATTTTTGGTGAAAAACTGTAAGAAGTTGTTTCTCTGGGAGAGTGTTGGGGTGTAAGTATGAGGACAGCACTGTTGTCTCAGATTCAAATTAGCATCATTATAAACCCCGTATATCAAGTTGAAATGAAGTCAGCTCCATTTTATAGCTGAAATAGATTTTATTCACCATTGTTTACACAAATCCTTGAAAATAATGGGTATTTCTGGTCTCTTCTGTCCTGTAGCTTCATCAAAGCATATTTTATAATTTATGTATGAAAATATGTTACACAGGAGATACTATTTATTAAAACTGGCTGGATGTGGTGTTGCATGCCTTTAATCCCAGAACTCAGGAGGCAAAGGTGGATCTGGGAGTTCAAGGTCAGCCTGGTCTACATAGTTGAGTTCCAGGCCAGCCAGGGCAACATAGTGAGACCCTTTCTCAAAACAAAACAAACAAATGGAAAAAGCACAGACTTCACTAAAAGACACAGACCTGGAGTCGCTGAAATGCCTGATTCAATCAGAGTTAAATAATAGCTGCTGAGGGCTGGGAAACTTAAACCCTAGTTTGTTTATTTATTTACTTATTTATTTATTTATTTATTTATTTATTTGTCTTTTTGAAGCAGGGTCTCCCTGTAGGCCCCAGTTGTTCTGGAACTCACTATGTAGGCCAGGCTGGCCTTGAACTCACAGAGATCCACCTGCCTCTGCCTCCCAAGTACTGGAACTACCGCCACCATCCCCGGCTTATTTTTTTTAATATTTAATTATTTATATTTATTTTATGCATATGAGTCGTATGCCTGCATGTATGTAAATGCGCCCCGTGTCATGCAATGCCCACAGAGGCCAGAGGAGGGAGTCAGGTCCCCTTGAACTGGAGTTATGAACGGTTGTTAGCTGCCATGTGGTTGCTGGGATTTAAACCCTGGTCCTCTGAAAGAGCAGCCTACGCTCTTAACCACTTAACCATCTCTCCAGCCCCTAAACCTTAGTTTTAAAATGTTTATGTGTTGAGTTACCCTGGGTTACATAGTGAGTCCTTGTCTTTAAATTTTTTTCATTTTAGGGGCTAGAGAGATGGCTCAGCGGTTAAGAACACTGACCAAGCTGGCCTGGAACTCACAGAGATCTGCATACTTCTGTCTCCCAAGTGCTGGGATTAAAGGCGTGTGCCACCACACCTCGCTTATTTTAATTAAATTTTTAAAAACACAATGGGACCACGAACCTGTAATCCCAGCACTTGGAAGGTGCCCCAGCTACATTACATATTCAGGGCCAGCCTGGCCTAGATGAGACTCCTGTCTTCTAGAATCAGGAAAAAAAAAAATTTTGTGTGTGCCCTAGACTGCATAAAGGAATATTGGATATTAAAATGCTATGGCCCAGCACTGAATTCAAGACCAGTCTAGATATATGACAAACCTATAGCCAACATTATACTAAGTGGGGGCAAAGTCAAAGCATCTACACTAAAATCAAGAACAAGACAAGGGTGCCCCCTTGTCGCCTCTTACTCACTTCAGAACTTTAAGTCTTAGCTAGAGCAGCAAGGTAAAATAAGCAAATAAAAAGATACGAATAGGAAAAGAAACCAAAGTATCCTTATTTGTATATGACATGATTCTATACATAATAGGCCCTTAAGGCTCCACCAGAAAACTCTTTGAGCTGATAGCCACTTTCAACAAAATCACAGGATACAAAATTAATACACAAAAAAAATCATTAGGCTTCCTATACACCAGTGACAAACATACTAAGAAGAAATCAAGGAAACAATCCCATTCACGATTTCCACAGAATAAAGAAATAAAACATCTTGGAATAAACCTAGCTAAGGATGTAAAACAATGAAAACTTTACAACACTCAAGAGAAATTGAAGAAGACACTAGAAAACAGAAAGCCCTCCAATTCTCATGAATTAGAAGAATACTGTGAAAACAAACGATTATCCTACCAAAAGCAATCTACAGATTAAATGCAATCTTCATCAAGATTCAATCTATCTTAAAATTCATTTGTGGCCCAGAGCAAAGGCTGAGTAAAGGCACTTGCCATCAAGCCTGATGACCTGAGTTCAATTCCTGGGACTGGGGCTGGAGAGATGGCTCAATGGTTAAGAGCACTAGATGCTAGAAGACCTGGGTTCAAATCCCAGCACTCACAACTGTCTATAACTCCAGTTCTGGGGATCCAACGCCCTTGTCTATCTTCCGTGGGCAATGTGCAACTCAGTGACACCATGCACCTACATACATGAAGGCATAACACTTAAACACATAAAAATAAATTATCTGGGCGGAATGCTGCACACCTTTAATCCCAGCACTCGGGAGACACACTCGGGAGACAAGAGGCAGATGGATCTCTGTGAATTCAAGGCCACCCTGGTCTACATAGTGAGTTTCAGGCCAGCTGGGGCTACAGGGAGACCCTGTCTCAAAAAGTCGGGAGGCCACTGAGCTAAATCCCCAACCAACCCCGAATTTTTTTCTTTTTTAAAGAACCGTACCTAGCAACCGTACCCGGGCATCGAGGGAGGGAAGGAAGGAAGGAAGGAAGGAAGGAAGGAAGGAAGGAAGGAAGGAAGGAAGGAAGGAAAGAAAAAAATGATGGCAAGGATGTGAGGAAAAGAACTATTATTTACTGTTGGTGGGAATGTAAACTGGTGCAACCACTACGTAAATCAGTGTTGAGGTTTCTCAAAAAACTAATACCGTCCTTAACTCCAGTTCCAGGGGAATCCGAAGCCCTCTTCTCACCTCCTCAGCATTGCATGACAAGGGTGCACTCACATACATGGAGACAATACACTCATACACATAAAATAAAAATAAATTTTGAACTAAAAATAGGACAATCACGTGGCCTAGTTATACCTGTCCTAGGCACAAACCCAAAGGGTTCTCCATCCAACTACCGAGATACTTTACAGCTGTTCCGTCTATTTACAGTAACAAAGAAATGGAATGAGTCTAGATGGCCATCAACTTAGCATCTTGATGGATAATGATGGGATGGCACATACACACAATGCAATTTTATTCAGCTGAAATAGACCATAGACACAAATAAAAACAAACACTGGAGTAGAAATGGCCAAGTTCACAGATACTAAGTACAAGAGTAATGCTAGGAGTAGGGAACTGGGAATGGGGCTAACTAGGGCTTCAGGATTTATTTAGGGTGATGAAAATGTAAAATTCGATAACGCTAGTAGTCAACATCGTGAACATACTAGAAACCAATGAATTGCACACCTTAAATGGGTGAATTTGATTGAACATTAAAGTATGCCTCGATTGTTTAAAAGACAGAAAGGTCGAATATGCGGCTACCCTAAATGTCAAATTCCTTCAATCCTCCATTTCTTTCCAACTCCACCCACTCCTTCCAACTCCCGTTAACAGTTACCGGGCAGCCGGCGCCGGCGTGCCCCCATCTGCACTGTCAGGGATCCAGGACCCCGCACCTCCTCCCGCATCCGTGGAACTCCTGGATTCAACCTGAGTCACACACACACACACACACACACACACACACCCCGCCCGGCAAGCTCACCCCCCCCCCCGCCTGGAGAAGGGAGAGCTGCGAATCCGAAGGGCCCCACGTTCCACGACCCCGCCAGAATCGTACCCACTCACGCGCCTCGGAGCGCGGCTCACACAAGAGCTCGGACCCGGCTGCAAAAAGGCGGAAGATTGAGAAAGAACACAAGGGCTGCTGGGAAGAAGGTCGGCGCTCGCTGCCTAACAGAAGGACCTGTAAAACAAGTCGGAAGGCGAGGAGAGCCGTAAAGCAGTGTGTCGCAAGCCCTGACGCAAGCTGGAGGTTGCGCCCAGGGCCCGGAGCAGCCAGCCTCTCTACCGCTCTCTGTGTGCCGGCAGCGCCACTGCCAAGCGGTCCTGGACCTTTCCGAAATGCGGCTTCATTCTGACCCTCTGAGGCTGGTTCTTCGCCCTCCCCTCCCGCCACTTCCTTGTGGATAGTATCTGAATATAAACATGAGGATGCTCGATGCAACAAGGCGAGGTGACTCCCCTCCGGTCACTCTTTCAGAAGCAGCCACACCTAGTGACTTCTTAAACTAGGAAGGACTGACATCCCAAGGGATGTCACCCAGAACTCAACTGTAACTAACTGGATGGCCATTACACCACGCAATTACTAGAGCTCAAAACACATATTAAAAACTTTAGTCATCAACTTCAAGTTAAATAAGATAGGTCCCAAATGACTATGTTTTCAGCTTTACAGCAGGTTTACATCCTCATGGTGAAGCTTAGACACTAAGATCGTTTAAAAATGGTCAGGTTTTCAGATTGTTACAGTTTAACCAATTCTTTATCTGACTGTTATCTCCAGGGTTTGTCTTTTCCTGAATGAATGACCCGCCCTCTTCCCAGGAACACAGTAGGAATCAGATGCAGTGAATAAATAATTTTATTTTTTGATGTATTTGTTGATTTGTTACTTTTTTACTGTTTTGAGACAAGGTGTCAGTATGTAGCAGGGGTTGGCTTGAAAATCATGATCATCCTGCCTCAGCCTCCCTGGGGCTGAGATGACAGATATGTGTCACCACACATAGGATGATATTTCAAATATCACCTTCATCAAATAATACATTTTTGCTGGATGTGATGGAAGCTGGGGGTGGTGGCACATGTCTTTAATCCCAGCATTCAGGGAGGCAGAGGCAGGCAAATCTCTGTGAGATCATGGCCAGCCTATTCTACATAGTGAGTTCCCGGCCAGCTCCAGGGAGACCTGTTGCAACCAAAACAAAGCAAATCAACCAAGAAAGAATTTTCTTTTCTTTTTTTTTTTTAACTTTTTAAAAATTTTTTAACTTTTTTTAATTAAATTTTATTTTTTTATTTTCTGTGTATGTGTGTATTGCCTGAATGTAGGTAAGTGTACCCATGTCATGCAATGCCTGCGGAGGTCAGAAGAGGCTGTCAGATCCCCTGGGACTGGAGTTATGGACAGTTGTTAGCTGCCATGTGGGGGTGCTGGGATTCGAATCCGGGTCTTCTGCAAGAACAACCAGTGTTATTAACCGCTGAGCCACCTTTCCAGCCTCCCAAGAAAGAAATTTCATTTTTAATTTTTTTTTTGAGTGCTTCCTCAGACTGATCTCGGAACTCCTCAGCTCGATTGATGGTGGTGCATACCTACACTCATGAGGCTGAGGCAGGAGAATGTACAGTTTGAGATCAGCATGGGCTACATACACAGTGAAACCGTGTCTCAAAAAAAAAATATATATATATGAATATAATCTTTTGGAAAAGGTAATAATAAACTTCTCTCATGAGTCAAACAAGTTCTGATTCTTCTATCAATTTTTCTGACTTTTTTCTATGCATAGACATCAAATTTCATTTTTTATAATAGTGTCAATACATTCACACTCCTAGTAGGAGTGCAATTGATATAACCTTTTAGATTATGATCTGGCAATCTATATTTAAAATATTAAAATATATACACTCTTTGTTCCAGGAAGTCCTCCCTAGCACTCGGGAGGGTGAGGCAGGAATCCCTAAGGAAAATGGAGACTATATGCAAAGATTCTTACACACACACATACACACACACCCTTGTTTTTGTTGTTGTTGTTGCTATTCAGGCAGAATCTCATTCTGTAACTTGGGCTGGCCTCAGACTGAAGGCACTCTCCCGCTTCAGCCTCCAGAGTACTGGGGTTACAGGTATGTGCCACCACACCTTGTTGTGAAACCTGCTTTTGCTGAAAACAGTGCCTCTTCACTTGGACCTACAGGTATCCATGGGTCACTGGAATGGGATGAGAGAGCTTAACATTTCTGCCTTCTTTTTGTGCCTTCCTTTTCAATGACTTCACCTTTGGGTCAAGTTCCATTCAGCTCTGCATCTAAACATGCTGATTGCCTGATGGAGTTGGTATGTATTTTCTTCCACTCCACACTGTAGCAACCCAAGAACCTGAAGTCCTTTAGCCTGTTGTAAGGCCCAGATCAACCACAGTACCAAGATATTTGTACAGGACAATGAGATCAGCTCCAAGAAGAACTCAGCAGTTTCTGGAACAAGTTGATCACTCAATTGGCCCATACCTTGCACATGAAGGAAAATATCTTTCAAAACCGTGCCCATGGTTAGTGGAAAGTTACCAAACTTGCCAGGCTTTGAGGTACAAGCCTATAATTCCAGCTGCTAGGAAGCTGAAGCCGGAGGATCCTAAATTCAAGGCCAGCCTGGTCAACTTAATGAGATCCTGTCTCAAAAATAAAAGGAAAAAAGAGGGTTAGGGTTACAACTCAGCAGTAAAGCATTTGCCTAGCATATGCGAGGCCCTAGGTTCAATCCCAAATGCTGCAAAGGAGAAGAGGGAAGAGGGGGAGGGAGAGAAGAAGGAGGGAGAGGAGAGGGAGGAAGAGTATGTGAGGTGGGAAGGGGGGAGGAGAAGAAGAAAAAACTACCAGACTTTATCCCAGCCCAGCAAATCAATAAAAAAGCTCGTCTCTTTGTCTGTTCAGAGAGTAGCTTAGTCTCTTTCAATCACTGCCGTCTCTCTTCAGCTCAAGCTAAAGTTAGGCAACTCAGTTCAAAGTTCCAAGAAATCCCTGCCTATTTGTTGGCAAAATTTAGCTAAGTCTCCTTTTTACCATACCAGATGATCCCATCTCTGCCTCTACAACACCAAACTTTTGTTTTAATTTGTTTTGTGAAAGGGTCTCACAAGATTCCCTGGGCTGACCTAGAACTCACTATGTAGGCCAGTTTTGGCCTCAAATTTAAGGCAATTCTCCTGCCTTACCCTCCTGAGTGCTGGATTACAAGCATGAGCCACCATGCTCTCCATTTTGATTTGACTTTGCTTTTTGCTTTTTGGGTTTGTTTTGGTTTTGTTTTGGTTTTGTTTGGGGGTTTTTTGAGACAAAGTCTTATGTAGCCCAGGCTGGCCTTGAAGATGACCTTGAACTTCTGATCCTCCTGGCTCTTCCTCCCAAATGCTAAACTAAAAGGTATGTACTACTGTTAGATTTAGGAGAGCAGAAAAAAGGAGTCTAGAGTTTAGAAATAAGAGCCAGAGCCAGACCTGCAACAGGCAAGGAATGTGTTTCTTTATTCAAGGTAACACAGCAGAGGACAGAAGCCCTCCCTGGGGGAATAAGGCATCTGCAACTAAGGAAGGGAAGGTTTGAGTTTATACAGGAATTTTACTAAGCATCGCTGTAGGAATTTGCTCAGTGCCAGGGTCTGCTGTCCTTGGGTGACTGAAGGTCCTTCTCCCAAGATTATTTTCTCAGGCAGGGAAGGCAAGTAATTTAGGGCCCTAAAGGAGACAGGTTGGCTCCATAAACAGTCTCTTTCAATCCTAGGAGTAACCAGTTGATAAGGCTTGAGCAAGACCGGCCTGCCAATTTAGGGCCAGTAGGCCACTTTAAGGGATTTATAGTTATATGGTTTCCCTAATGAAGGTTATGGCACTCCTGCAATTCACAGAGTCTGTCAACCACCACGTGGTTTATTCCATGATGGGGACTGAACCCAGTGCTTCATGCATGCTATGCAAGGACTCTACCAACTATATTGCCAGCCTTTTTTTTTCAATCAGGGTCTTATTTTGAAGACCAGGCTGGCCTGGAACCCACAGAGATCTGCCTCCCTCTGCTCATGAGTGCTGGAATTAAAGGTGTGTATCACCATGTCTGGCCCTGTTTTTGTTTTTTGTTTGGTTGGCTGGTTTGCTTTATTTTTTGAGACACGGTATCTCTATGTAGACCTTGTTGGTCTGGAACTCACTATGTAGACTAGGCTGGCCTCAAACTCAGAGATCCACCTGCCTCTGCCTCCTGAGTACTAGAATTAAAGGTGTATGCCACCATTCCAGGCTCTGGTTTTTTTTACATTATTATTATTATTATTATTATTATTATTATTATTATTTGTGTGTGTGTGTGTGTGTGCGCGCGCGCGCGCGCGCGTGTGTGCCATAGAACGTGGTGTGGAGTTCAACCTTGTGGAGTTGGTTTTCTCATTCCACTATGTGGGTTCCAGTGGATTGAACTCAGGTTGTCAGGCTTGGCAACAAGTGTTGTTACCTGCTGATCCATCTCACCAGCCTTGTTTTTGTTTGTTTGTGTTTGGTTTTTTGTTGTTTGTTTGTTTGTTTGGGGGCGGGATCTTTTTGAGACAGGGTCTCATTGCTAGCCTGGAACTCACTTTGTAGACCAGGCCTCAATCTCAGAGAGATCCACCTACCTCTGCCTCTCAAGTGCTGGGATTAAAGGCATGAACCATGTCCAGTCCATGTTTGGTTTTTTGTTGTTATCTTGTTTTTGTTTTTGGTCTTTTTGAGACAGGGTCTCTCTGTAGTATCAGCTGGCCTGGAACTCTCTATATAGACCAGGCTGGCCTTGAACTCACAGAGATCCACCTCCCTCTGCCTCCCAAGTGCTGGGATTAAAGACATGGACCACTATGTCAGGCTTGCATATCCTTTTTTAAAAATGTGTGTGTGTGTGCACACGCGTGCATATGTGTATGTGTACATGATGTGTGTAGGTGCATGTGTGCTATGCATGTGGAGATCACAGGACAACTTGTGGAGTCTTCAAAGTCAAGGGTCTCATGTGTGAAGTACTGTGGTACTGGATGCTTCTAAGGGTACTGGATGCTCCAAGGCTTGCACAGAGACTGTGACACTTGTAGTGCAGACAGTCCCAATATCCCCAGTCCTAAATGAGGACTATAACACTGGTGCTTCTGCCTGCCTGCT